CACGTGGCCGTTTGTTGTTTGAGTTTCACACCCCCACGTTTCGAGTTGCTCACATCTCGCTGCCCACCCGCCTCTACCACCCCCTCGCGTGCACTGACTCCTTTTTTCTTTTTTTTTCTTTTTTTTTTCTCCCTTTTTATTTTTTCGGGCCAGCTCATCGGGGCTCTGGAGCAGGACGAACAGGCACGTAGGCAGCGTCTGGCGTACAAAGTAGAGCAACTTATTGGTGCCATGTCTATTGAGAGCTGAAGAAAGGTCACGGTGCTCACGGATGGCAAAGGGCAGAGGATTGCACGGACTCTCGGGAATTAAGAGGGAGAACAGGCAAGAAAGGCGCTGGACACAAAGAAACACCGAGGCTCTTCTGGAGGGAGCAGAGACTGGCCCAAGGACTGGCTGCGTTCAAAATCGTGCAGGATCCGGTTTGAAAAGGCAGGAAGAGAAAAAGACAAAGCATCTCAATCAAAGTCAAATCAAGATGGGTCATCTTTTTCGAGCATACATGGAAAGAAGGAAGCTGGAAAGTTTGGATGTCTCCATGACTGCTGCTTTGCATGAAAATTGTTTGATGTATATTAGAAAATAAAACTTTATTTAAAGGGTTTTTTTAAAAAAAAGAAAGAAAGAAAAAAAAATAGAGCAAAAAACACAGAAGCCACAGAGATAATCCTGGCAACAAGGTTCGGCTCTGAATCCTGTCCTTGAGAGGCTCCCGAGGACGCGGCTCAGGCATTTGCAAATGGACTCTTACGCCAATTGGAAAGTCTGGAAAACCGAAATTTTCTTCGTTTTGGGATCTTACAAAAAATATGAGCACAAGTTTGCACCACACCTTTTTACACGAGTAAAATAGCAGTTTAGCCAGAAGTAGTTCAGTGGCTGAGTAACTTATAGGCACTAGAAGGAACTTTTCTCGAATTGCAAAACCATCCGATCATTCAACCTGTCTTGAAATCCAGCTTTATCTATGTATTTATATAGTGTCAATATATATATATTTTTTTTAAATCCCATTTACTGCTGAACGAGGAAAGATCTGGTTTTAAACACTTTCCCCTTTTCCACCCCCATTCCACCTCGCCGGTCACCGGCACCGCCACGGTGGTCTGGCAGCACGTCGGCGGTGTGGCCCAGCTGTGGTCGTGCCCGGCTGTGGTCGTGCCCACCCATGATCATGCCCAGCTGTGGTCATGCCCTGCCGCAGTCGTGCCTGGCTGTGGTCATGCCTGGCTGTGGTCATGCCCACCCGTGGTCATGCCCACCCACAGTCATGCCCAGCTGTGGCTGTGCCCAGCCGCAGTCAGCGCGTTGCCGGTTTCCACAGGTACCGTTTGAGCCGGAGCGGGCGGCTGCCCTCTCCCCGTCGGGCAGAACTGGCCCAAAGCCTCCTTGGTTGCATTTTGGTGGTGGTTCCTGGCAGCCACCTCTGGTTTCTTGCAGCCAAAGCCAAGGAAGCCCCGATGTTTACAGTGAGCGATACTTGAAAAGCCTCGGCGGAGCGAGATGGGATATTTCCTGCTTTCCTGTTTGACTTGCAGAGGAGATCAGCACAGGCTCCCTTTGAGTTTCTGTGCCAGCGTTGGCGGTGTTGCCCGGGGTCAGGCGAAGGACTTGTGTTTCCACTGGGGAGAGGAAAGAAATCTTTGCTCCAGGCAAGGGAGAACCTTAACCAGCGCCCCACGGCCGGCTCGCGCTGCTGTCTTGTCTCTGTCTCGGCGTCTCGTTGTTATATTCCGTTCCTTGCTGGTCCCAACAGCACGTGTTCTTGTGGCCAGTGGCAGGCAAACGTTTGTGAGTGTTACTTCTTTCAAAGACACCAAAGCTTATGTGTGTCCCTTTGTGGAGTGCCAGGAGGGGAAGGAACGCTGTAAATATTTCTCTCTGTAATAAATATGGATATTCGTGCAGGCTGCGGTGGGGAGGACAGGGTGATTAGGTCTGATGGAAATGCAAGTATTGACTGCATGAGCTTGGCAGTGGCAGCAAAATAGCTCCCAGTGTCTGCCCAGGCAGCGCCGTGCTGGACTGGGACCTTGGTTTGCACCCGGCGTGTGTCGAAGGAAAATCCATTTTCATATCTGTCCCCGTCCTCCACCATTCCTGCCCGGAAGGGAGGGTCACCGTGGGCTCCCTGTGCACTGGGGGCCGCCAGCTTTGGTCTCGAGACACAGTCCTAAGGGCAGCCAGCAACTGGGGAGGGGAGAAGCACGTAGAGAAATACTCAGGAAACTTGTTTTAATTACTGTTCGGTAAAAGCCATGCCAAGTCCGCTTTCTTTTGGTAATCCACTTTTTTTGAGTTTCTCTGGGCCCTATTAATACTCTGGAAGAAAATACTAATGATCAACCTCGTGCAATAAGTTCTTCACATTTACAACAGCCTGAGCTTTGTAACTGGAGGGCTTGGATTTAGCGAGACACGGAGGGAGCTGGCAGAAAGAGAGAGACTGAGAAGCAGAGCAGGATTCGTACTACCCGTTTTCGGGAGAATTGCCTTCCCAGGGATCCTCCTCCTGCACAACGAATCTAATTTTAAAGACAGAAGATGTGCAAATGTCCAGGTTGCCCAGTTGAAGTCTGGGGACTGAGCTGCCGTTGCCGCAGCCGCCAGCCTGCCCTGCCCTTTGCTGGGCGTTACGGGGATTTGAAATCCTCCAGGTCTCATTTTTTGCTGGTTTCTGTTACTGCTGCTCACAGCGATCCGACGTGCAGCTCGTGAGTGATTCCCAGATCTGTCTTCTGGTTATGGTCATTGCTTTGGGTGTTCATGTTCAGATCATTCACCAAACCCTTACGGTACTCTGAAACCCAAAGCAAGCATTCCAAATGGTTTCCAAACACTTCTGAATATCAGTCTGAACAGTTATTTCTGCAGGATTCATGAAATATGAATACTGCCTGAAGCAAAGACCTGGCTTTTCATCACCTGGGTGCTGGTGGCCATGTCCTTGCCCTACAGCCCCAGTCAGGCCCTTGCGCTCCTCTTTCCTTCACATCATTTGAGAGAATTTTGCGTAGCTACTTTTAAGCCCATTTCGCTCCTCCTGGTCTCTGTCTTCTGGCGAGGAGCACCCCATAAGCAAACGTTGCCCAGTCTGTTCTCAGCAAAGGTGGAGGTCCCTGCCTATCCCCTGGGCGATGCTGCAGGTGGGTGCTGCAGCCATGCGGCAGCGATGCTGGTGACCGGTCTCTTTTCCACGTGCATTTTGGCCGCAGGAGAGGCAGCAGGGGGGAGGTCTCCTGGCTCGAGGGGCTGCGTGTGCGGTGCCATGGGCTGCCAGCCCTGCTCGGCTGGTTTGCCCCTTAGCAGCCTCTCCCCATATCCTGGCAGGAGCCTGGGAAAAGGCCTGTAAACTGGGATTATCCTGGTAAAGGTAAAGATGAAAAAGAAAAATAATTGCAGAGCCCAGAGGGATTGGTTTGTGAGCAAGGATTAAGAGAATCCACTGTGTCCAGGCTGGCTAAAGACGGGGTGTGTATTCCACAAATACAGGAGAGCACCAAGGAGAGAAGGGGACAACTGAGTTTATTTTCTGTGCCGTGGGAGGGATTTGAGCAGAGGAGGAAAGGGGAAGCAGCAGGAGCACTTTGCACACCAGTAAACTATTAATACTTTTGACTTCCGAGGGAAGCAGCAGCAACATCTCTTCTTCCATCATCTGGAAAGGCGTTAGGAGGATGACGTAGGGAACAGCATGGTGCTGCCTGGAAGGGGTGGCCTCGAAATAACCTGCCAAGTATCTACTCGTGATGGTTGACGTGAATTATGGATCTTTACAGGCAATTATATGGAATGAAGTAATATATCCCCTTGGAGCAAAGCGCTTGTGACCTATTGTCCTGTTTGCGTCCGAATTTTCCGTTGCTCCTTTGGGAACAGGAAGCTTCAGATCTCAAAATGGCATTTTCTTCACACTTGCAGCAAACTGGACTCGAGGTTTGGTCAGGAGGGGGCAGTGACTTTGCCTTAGATGAAACGATTTCACATCCCTCTCGTTGCCCCCTTCCTCCTGCAAGGCCAGTTGGTGTTTTGATTCTCCAGTTCACTTCATTTCAGGTATTTCGACATCAAAGTGGGAGACGTCACTTTCCGGAATCTCTCTGCCTGGTGTTGCTGCTTAAATAATTCCATTTAATCTTCTGCTCATGAGCTATCAAAGCACCCACTCCAAGGGGGAGCAAGGTGCTAATCAAACGCTTCTCCACCTCGAAAGCCTTTATTAAAAACCCATATACAAGAGCCGAACTTACAGGCAAGCCTGTCTCCGCACGAGCCCCACCGTGGAGCACCACAACGCTGCAGCCCACCAAAGTGCAGAGGACGTGGACATCAAGTGGTCCACACTTTGCCATAAAGGACGAGTTTATGTTTAAAGGGAGGCAGGAGAGATCCACATGGCCAAAGTGCTGGAGCCTGCGTGGGATCCAGCAGGGACCAGTCCACAGCTGCCTGAAGACCCACCATGGGAACCAGCGCTGAGAATTAAAACCGCTGCCACGGCCGGGCTGCTGGTGGGCAGCACGTGCTGGGGGAGGTTTGTCCCGGGGGGAGGTTTGTCCCTGATGGAGGCTGGATGCGGCTGTGCCAGACGGTGGTGCCTTCCTGCAGGGTCTCGGTGCTGTGACGCGGTGGGGATGGCGAGTGCAGCCGCTCAACGCGGTGCCAACAGAGACCTTCATCACAGCAGTGCCTTCAACACACTGTCTTAAAATCCTAACGGCCCGTCCCCGCGTGAGTTCTCTCTCCTGCCTTCAGCTGGACTTCACCAAAAATGTCGTAACGTAGGACACCATTTGGGTGGGCGTGTGGAGGACAAAAGCGAGAGGGCTTAAAGCTCTGGGGTTGTGTTCCTGCACGCTGCTGGCTCCGAGTGCCTCGGTGCGAGCTGATTAAGTCTGCGTGGAAAAGGTCGGAGAGCTTCCCTCCTCCAGTGGGCACCACCAAAAACAAGGTCTTATTGCCAGACATCCCAAGCAGCCAGCGAGGATGAGGAGCACCGACCTGCCCTCGCCCGGTCTCCGGGGCAGCTGGGTGGCAAAGGGCACCCCCGGCACGGTCTCTGCGATGCTCCAGCCTGCTCCCCAGTGCAGCCCAGCCGTGTTCTTGCCTGATGCCAGTGCTTCTCCATCCCGTTGCAGGGCTGTCAGAGCTCAGCTTGCTCACAGGGACTTGGCTCACCAAACTCCATGAAACTAAACCAGACTGGGATGAGCTGGGACATGAGGGAAAGCTCATGAGTGATTGTACCCTGGAGAGAAGAAAAAAACGTTCCGAGAAGGATAAACAGCGGACATCAAAGATGCATAAAACGCCCCAAAGCTTCAGCCATCCTAGTTCAGAGTCTCGTTTGCACCATAAACCGCAAGCGGATAACGCGGGGAGCGCGACGTTGTACATAGCTGCGTGTAGCACGGGGGCTGAGCCGTGCCATCTGGTGAGCCAGCGTGTCCCCAGTGAGCACATCGCCCCAGCCTTCGCCCCCGAGGCCACCACAGCCAGCGGGCTGGAGGCCAGAGGCAAAGTGCTGGTGACAGCCACGAGGCCACCCCACACCCACATGGACAGGATGCTGCTTTTTG